TCGTGCGATAAAAAGCCTTCAATGCTTTTATGACTACCTGGCCCTATGGTTGGATTTTATAAGGTTGTGTTGGGTGGTAAAAATAATAATTCAACTGCTATAAAGTTGTCAAGATTAGGATGAGCTGTTCAGTTATCTATGATTAGAGCTACTTTCCTACCCTCAACACTGAACTTTGCGTAAAGACTTCTTACATAATCAGTAAAGATTTTAGAGTCCATCCAGGATTTATTTTGGGACTATTAAGATAAGGTAGGCTTTTGACACTTTTGAAACATCATGATTTTTCTTTCTTTCCAATTATCAACATAAGCAGCTTTTTGCCAACCCAATTTGCTTCTGCTAGCTCTGTTAAATGAACTTTGCTAAATTTTCCTCCTGCACATCGTTCACCTTTTAAGCGAAAGGTTTTTGTCAAAACCTGTTGATAAAATAAACCAAACTCGACAGCATTGTAAATATCCCTCAATTCATACCTTAAGAGGATCATGGGCAAAAGGGTCTGCTCATAATTTGCTGTCATTTTCTTTGTCCACAACCTTCCCTCACTAGAAATAGTTCGAAAAACAACATTATATCAATTTTTCCACTAATCTTGCTGCCTTTCTGAGGCCTTAAAATCCATTATCTTAAGTTCTTTTTTAAAATCTAAAGCTTTCTTCCTAATAACATGTCCCACCTATTGGACATTTTGTTTACATGTGTTCATAAACCATTTATATACAGCTTTATCAATGGAATCATGCTTTCCAAAAATTAACTTTTGTATCTTTGCTCCAAATTCTTAATGATTATGAATTTTTTATGCCTAATGTAAGTTAAAGTGATTTAAGGGACATAAAACTTTTTGGCAACATTCTTTTTAGTTTGACATTTTTCCAAATCTTTAAATGCAAGATATTTATCTTTGATTGTCAGTACTATCTTTTTTCGGATGATTTGGATGAGTTTTTAAGTAAAATTTAGGGGAATTCAAAATTTCTTCAAATAAGAGGGAAATTCGAATAAGTGCCAGTTCAAACAACCGGGAGCACCGGTTGCTCGAACTGGCACTTATTCGAATTTCCCACTTATTCGAATTTCCACCACAAAAGAGCATTTAACTAGAAAGTTTACAGCTCTGTTGAAAGTTTAGCAATAGCATCATAACTCAGCTAGCATCATAACTCAGCTAGCATCATAACTGTAGCTAGCATCATAACTCAGACTTCTTGATTCTGAAGCAAGCACTCTAACCACAGCTGCTGCTCTCAAAATTACAACAAACAATTTATTGCATTTAATTTTCATTTGAACAACTCAAATCACTTCCTTTTGGTCTTTGATTTGTGCTTTGTCTTTAATTCGACCATGTGCTTAGTTTCATCAGATTTATCATATCATTGCGCTTTATATTACTATCTTAAGGCTGACTGGAATTCTTTTTATGATTTTCTTGTGAGTTTTTGAGCTGATGTCTTTTGACTATGCCAAAGATTGCTCCTCCTATTTAAAAAGAGTATTTTATCTAATTCATTGCTTTGATTCCTTTACTACCAAACCAGTTTTTATTATTATTTTTACTACCAAACCAGTTTTTAATATTTTTATATTGATATTAGCAAAGTCTTTATTCTTTAATTTAATTATTTGTTTGATCAACCAAAACTCAATTTTGAGAAACTCATTATTTAAGTCATCATTCTACTAAAACAGTTTCTTTAAAAAAATTATAAAAACTTGTTTCAATATCTAAATCCTTGATTCTAATACACTTGATTGCAAGTTTTGTTTTTCTTATCTTGATTGTTTTATTGCACTTTACCAGCAAAGTTTACCAGTAATATTTTTAGTTACTTTAATAAAAAAATGTTTTTAACTTCAAAACAACATATACCAACATAAATATCATTTTTTAATTATTTATTTATAAAGATTTCGGGAACTTTCTTAACTTAAGAAAAACAGCAGTAAAAATATAAATAAAGATATTTTTAAATAATAAAAATAATTAAAAAAGCAACATCAATATAATCAGAGCAACGAAAAATCTAAACTATGAAACAACTGACATCAATTAAAGTTTTATTGATCTTTTGAATGAATAACCTTGTTATCTAATGACAACTCGGCAGCAGGTTATTTCATTGTGACATCACAGTGCTTATCTAAACACGCATTTATAGTTGCGTGGTATGTGTGTGTAAATATATATATAATATATATATCATTAGGGTGATTTTGATACCAGTATAAAGGTTTGGGCACCCAAACTTCAGTACTTAATTATGGATACAAAATTTGCATAAGTTCTTTAAATTATGGAAAGTAAAGGGAATTATATATATATATATATATATATATATATATATATATATATATATATATATATATATATATATATATATATATATATATATATATATATATATATATATATATATATATATATATATATATATATATATATATATATATATATATATATATATATATATATACATTAAGAGAAAACTTTTACCTAAACTTTTAGTATTTAATGAAACTGCATTTAATTCTGCCATATTTTGAGAAGATACCAAGTTCTGGAGGTTCTGAAAAGCTTGATACAATGTCAGTTTAGCAGAATTTTCAACTTCAATAAATGTAACTCGCATGATGATAGCTTCACTTCATGAATAAAAAAAGCTATTATAAGCAAAAAATAAAAACAACAAATTTTAATAAAAAATGCATTAATATATGTTCTGTCAAAAAATAATTGTCGTCAAAATGAAAGAAATGCTGCTCCGCAAGCAGAAATTAATTTGAGTCGAAATGAGGATAATGTGGTTAGGCGTATTGATAATCATTGTCGAAATGAAAGAGATTGAGCAAGAGATGATAAAATTATTCATCTACAAATTTACAAAATGCTGTTAGGCAGGTAGAAAATAATTTGAACTCAATTGAGGACAATGTGGTTAGGCAAGTTTAAAATAATCATTACATGCTTTTTCTAACCACGCACATAATATATTTTTTGACAACATGACCACTGTTTTTACATAATTCGAGAACATTTCAAAATTGTGTGGAAAAAAGCTGAACTTCATTCAGAAGAGAGTTCTTCACGAAAGAGAAAATTAAAATAACTAAACTTAAAATAATAAAACTCAAAAAACTTTCAGAAAATTTATTTTTTAATTATGCTTTTAGTTGCAATGGAATTAATAACTTCAAAACTTTGATCTTTTAATGTTATTATAATATTAGTAGTGATTTCGCCGGTTATCCGGTTTTTCGGTTAACCAGATTTTGTTCGAATATCAAATATATATTTCCGAATAATAAAAACCGACTTTAAATTTTACTAAATTTATAGAAAGTAACATCTTACTTATGACGATTATTGTTTGACAAATGCTAATTTATCAAAGATTATAATAAATTTCTTTTATTAATTTAAATGTTAATTTAATCAGTTTTGTTTGATAATATATTCTTAAAACAATTTACAAAAGAAATCTCAAAGATTTATTTATTACTTTTGCAACTCAAACAATACATTTTTAAGAAAGTTTATTTGGAATATTCTGGAACTTTAATTCGCTTATTCAGCGTATTTTTTGAACCAATAGAAATCGTTTATGCGTATATTTGGCGGTAATTTATGCGTAGATTTGGTGGTAACAAGATGTTTTGAGAACTTTTGATAATTCAAGTTTATCCATGTTTCCATCTATGTCCGCATAACAATAAGTTTTCGCTAAAAAAGTTTATAATATCTATCAAATGTTTTTATGAGAGAATGCTTTTGAAACATCCGCTGATATTAAAACATTTTGATAAAAAAATTGCAAGGCTTATAGTTAAGTTATGTAACTATGTAACAAGGTTATATAGTTACATAAGTATGTTATGTTATGAGCTTAACTTTTTTAATTTAATTACATGAATCAATTTTTCTATATGAAAAATATTTGTTTTGTTTAGAGCATAATGTCTAGTCTTAAAAAGAGTATTGTGTGGAAGTTTTTTAAAAAAATTGACAATAATTTTTCTGTGTGCAGTGTGTGTGGTGAGAAAATATCGTGCAAAGGAGGAAGTACATCTGCAATGCAGAATCACCTCAAATTGCGTCATCCTTCTAATTCCGTGCAGTGGCACAATTTTTGTATCCAGGTTAGAGACATTTTTTTTTATTAATAAATTAAAAAATATCTGGCTATATTAATATGATAACTTCCATTACTTCCTTAACTTTATTACAGTATTTACATTTTATTTACAGGAGCTCCACCAATAGGATACACATCAATTGTTTCAAGAATATCTTTGCAATTTGAGGCAAGAAAGGCTGCCATTTTTGCAGAAGTTCAGACAATTATGGGACAACTAAACATATATCCTTGTCTCACAACAGATGGCTGGACATCGAATTCTAATGAAAGCTTCATAGCTATTTCAATTCATTTAATTGACAAGAACTGGAACCTTGTCAGTTATGTTATCAATTTGATTCACTCCCAGGAGCGTCACACGAGCGTCAACCTACAGGCAAGTTTGGAGGCTGCGATGGATGCCTGGCATATTCCGGAAGCTTTTGCAGTGGTGTCAGACAATGCCGCAAACATTGTGCTAGCACTAACTTCAAGCAAACGTGTACAGCATATGTTACGGTGTGTCGGGCATACAAGTCAATTGGCCATTAATGACAGCATCAATGCTATCCAGACAGAAATGCGCTGGCAGCCATCAGAAGAGTGGCACAGTTCTTCAGAAATTCGAATTCATCCTGAAATGTCCTCAAACAAATTCAGAAAGACGAAATCAAGAGAAATTCTAAAAACCGCGATACTACAGTATCTAGACTTCCAAAGCCTATCCGCCCTATCATGGACTGTGAAACCAGGTGGAGCAGCAAAATCCATATGGCAGAACGAATGGTGAGGCTACAACAGAACATCATTGCCACGATGCAGGTAAGATAAATTCTTATAATTTACTATATCTATGAATAACTGATTGGTTAAATTGCAAATGCATGCTTGTGCGCTTTTATTTTTATAAATATCTTTTCTACAGGATCCTCAAGTGAAGAAAGACATGGCTAGATCAAAGTGTGCTGTCCCCAACGCTGACCATTGGGGCGTTGCACAAACAGTGGTGGAAGTTTTGAAACCCTTTGCTGACCAGGTTACTCGCTGGAGTGGTCAGCGGTATGTTTCGTACTCAGCGATTTATCCGGCAATTTTCGGATTGCTAGATTTTCTTCAGCCAGATGATGAGAACGACACGTGGGCTGCTGTACAGCTGAAAGAAAAGCTGCAAAGTGAAATAAAGCAACGGTTTGGTTTGGTTAGCGGTATTAACAATGATTTTCCTTGCTATTTAGGCATGGTTGGTGCCCTTTTGGACCCTCGATTCAAAACCCTCCCATTTCTGACCACCGAAGAAAAAACAAGTGTGATAACATATGCAGAAGAACTACACGCCATCTTGCAGCAGCAACCTGTCATGGGCCCTGCTGCAACGGCTTCTGCATCCTCGAAATGCAAAGTCTTTGATAGTTTTCATACAAACAAAAAAAAAGTTGATTTACTCTCGCGTATTTACAAGCCAGTAACAAATGCAAGCTCAGTTCCAACAACTTTCAGACAGGAAATGCAAATTTACTTATCAGAAGATCCTGAACCGCTCACGGGAGATCCACTAACGTGGTGGAAGTCGCATAGCTCTAGATTTAACCTTCTTTCTCGTTTGGCTGCACAGCTTTTCTGCGTCACAGCAACCAGCTGTCCATGTGAGCGAATATTTTCAACCGCCGGAAATGTTATCACGAAGAAAAGAAATCAATTAATGCCAGAACATGCAGAAATGCTGGTTTTTCTGTATGAAAATTCAGAGTTGCGTGGAAACTTGGTTGATAATAATGAAGAAGATGATGATGATGATGAAATTCAAATCAGCAGCGATGATTAATGATAATGCAGATAATTAAAATATATTTGAACATTATTACTACCTTTTTTAAGTATATAATTAAAAAAGTACATTATATTGTAATATAAAATTTATATATATATATATATATATATATCTTTTTCCATGTTTTGTGTAAATATATGATATAGGACTGTATTCACTAACTGTCTTAAAAATGTATAGTTTAACATTAGTTTTTTAAAAATTAGTTTGAAATGCTACGTTCGTTAAAATTTAGAAGATCCTTTATTCAGAAGGCGTCACTAATTTACCGAATAGTCGGTTAACCGCAAATTGATGGAAACTGTTATCTGGTTTTCGAAACAGATAACCGGCGAAATCACTAAATATTAGGTGATACGTTTTTACATAAGGTTCAACTTCTAACAGTTTTTTAATAAATAAACACATTTTATTTTAACCATCAAAAAGTATTATTATTTTTTTGAAAAAGTATTTATACTTTTTGTTACATTTGTAATAAATAACTTTAAAACTTTTAATGTTTTCAAAACTTTAATCTTTTAATGTTTTTCTAATATTAGTTGATACATTTTTATATAACTTCCAATTATTTATTAACTAATTCTGTAATAAATAACTAACATTTTACGGTTCGTTTATAAATACACACCTTTTATTTTAAAGATTATAAGTATTACATATAATGTTTTTCATATGTGATATATTTTTTCCAACAAGTTTCTAAAAGTCTTTTTTAAATTACTTCGTGATTTGTTTAGCAAATTAAGTTTAAGAAAAAATAAAAAACAATTTTTTTTTAACTGAACTTTAATGGTTAAACTTAAATAGCGAAAATATGTTTTACTTCCTCAATGAATAAGATGTGTTTAAATATGTTTTACTTCCTCTATGAATAAGATGTGTTTAAATATGTTTTACTTCCTCTATGAATAAGATGTGTTTAAATATGTTTTGCTTCCTCTATGAATAGGATGTGTTTAAATATGTTTTACTTCCTCTATGAATAAGATGTGTTTAAATATGTTTTGCTTCCTCTATGAATAAGATGTGTTTAAATATGTTTTACTTCCTCTATGAATAAGATGTGTTTAAATATGTTTTACTTCCTCTATGAATAAGATGTGTTTAAATATGTTTTGCTTCCTCTATGAGTAAGATGTGTTTAAATATGTTTTGCTTCCTCTATGAGTAAGATGTGTTTAAATATGTTTTACTTCCTAAATGAATAAGATGTGTTTAAATATGTTTTGCTTCGTCAATGAATAAGATGTGTTTAAATATGTTTTACTTCCTCTATGAATAAGATGTGTTTAAATATGTTTTACTTCCTCTATGAATAAGTAGTGCCAATTAGGATTTAAGTTCCTCTAGGAATTATCAGAATTGTATTACTAAACATTTTATATTTATACTTTCTTTTATTTATGTTATTTGCATTAAATTTTTTTATTTTTTTTCGACTCTTAAAAAACTTTTTCAATGAACTTTTTAAATGAATCATTAACTTTAATGATTTTTTTAAAAAGTTCATTGAAAACAAACTTATTGTTTATACTTGTAAATATTTTTACTTTTGTAAATGTTTTATTTTTTTTGGTATAATTATTAAAAGTTGTTCTAAATAATTAAAATTTATCATCAAAAATACACAGAAATGTTTTATCATAAAAAAGTAATAAAAAAGATATAAGCATAAAGGAATAAGCATAATTTAAATTAAATTTTTTTATTGTAAACAGTTGTTAAAAGCAATTTTTAATTTTATTTAAAGCGCTTCGTGTAATATAATACATATTTCATTAGAAAAGATTGAAGTTTAAAAGTTTATATAATTCTTTTGAAATGTTTTGAAATGTTTCAAAACATGACAAAAGCCATGGACAAGTTGTCAAAAAAAAAATACACATGGTCAGAAATAGCTTGTGAATGCACACGGCTCCTGACCAAAACTGTTTATATGAGTATATATACTTATATGAAAATATAAATTCATATGAAAATATACATTTATATGCAGGGTTGGATCAAATACATTTGACAAAATACAAACACGTTAATTCTAGATTTTCAAATACAAATTCAAAAACAAATATATGTAATTGGCATTTTTCAAATACAAATGCAAATATTTGTATTTGAAAAATACTTAAAGAAAAAATGCAAACATTTTTTAATTTTTTTTTATTTTGAAAACTAATGATTAACTGTATTTGTTTTTAATTTTAAGGAGAAAATACTTCAAAAATATTTCTACTTGAATTTTTTCAACAACAACAACAACAAAAAAACTCCTTGTCACTTAATTTTATAATTAAATTTATAATTTTTTTCTAATTTTATAATAAAACTTTTATTTTTGACTTGAATAAGGAAGAGTTACTTAAAGTATAGTATATTATATAGAAGCATAAAAATAAGTCTTTTAAGAAATATCACTTAAAAACAAATTTTAAAGTTATTTGAGTGTTTAATAAAAAAAATGAAAAAGATTTTTTATTACAATAAAAAAAAAACAAAAAAAAAACAGTTTTTCAAAAAAAAAAAAAAAAAAAAATCCTAGTCAACCTATATAACCTTATATGGAAATACAGATACATTTTAATCAAATACAAATATTTCAAAAAATTTAAATCAAACACAATGCAAATACAAGTACAACAATATAGCCTATTATTGCCAAATACAAATAAAAAAATGTATTTAATCCAAACCTTGCTTAAATGAAAATTACAAAGAAATATAAAAGTATTAAAAATTCTTATAACATGTTGTTTTAATCATAATAATTATTTGTTAATAATAATAATTATTCGTTAATACCTGATTTCAAGAATTTTGGAATTGATGTTAAAATGAAAAATGCTTTCCAGGATTTCTTGGATCTAAATTGAAATAAATATAAATTTTATCTTCTAACAAGACTAAACCTGAAACAAATGAAACAAACAGAGAAATCTACTTCATAAGTAAATACAATTTGTTTAACCCCAAACTTTAGGTCAATATATGTACTAAAGCCCCCGTTATGCTGTTTATTTCACTAGCACAACCTTTATTGATATACATACTATCATGCATGGTTTTAGTTAATTTTTCCTATAAATTTAAATTTAAAATTATAGACTTTTTGTTAAAAGTCTAATGTATGTTTAACTACTGCACCATCAATCAATATTAAGACACTGCACCCATCACTAAATAAATTAGTCAATAAATGCATACTTAAATGTAAATAAAAAATAAAAAAAAAGGACAGAAAAGAAATAAAATAATAAAAACAATGAAAAAAACTAGATATGCATCTTATTTAACAGTTAGAACCAGAAGATAAATATTTAATAACAAAACAAAACAAGAAAAGTTTTTCAATTCCTAAAGTCACTTGTAAGTTAGTGATTCAAAACTCAACGTAGAATAAAGCACTTGTAAATTACAGCATAAGTAAAATACATAGCGTAAAAATTAAAAACACTCATAAAACTACTTAAAAATATGATGTTTTTAAATAGTTAGGGTATGGATGACTCAATTGAGCAAACTTCACACAATTAGGCTTTTTCTAATTATGCCAAGATTTAGACATGTTTGCATATGTAACAGCCTATCTTTAAATTTTTATCCTTGTTTTATCATTAAAAAAAAAAGAAGAGAAATAAAGAAAACTTAAAGAAAAAATGTCTTTTTTTAGCAAAGATTGAGACATTTGACCCCTTTAAAAAACTTCTTGTTGTTATTGTTAACCTTAAAACTATGAAAAAGTTTTAAAATATTCCTTGTGCAATATTCTGTGCGCAACTTAGATTTATACTTATCATATTATTTATACATATTTTATTATCATTTCGAATGCTTTATGAAGTGCAATACTTATCATCACCTGTGTCATGTAGTGTCATTATATTGTCTGATACATCATCACTATAACAATTATTTTTGCAATATGTAGGGCTGTTGAAAATTGTGTTTATAAGTACAACTTTTGTAAAAGTTGTACTTATAAACAGTCAATAAAAACTTTTCATTTAATGATCTCATTTATTTACAGTTGTTCTTTTTTAATTTTCTTAATTTTATTTAATTATATCTTAATTATTTATATATTAATTTTATCTAATTATTTATATATTAATTTTATCTAATTAATTATATATTAATTTTAAAGTAAAAATAAAATTTAGATGAGAAAGATATGAGATATCTTATATCTTCCATTCATATCTAAATTTTATTTTACTATAAGAGCCCAGTTGGGTAATTCTACATCAAATCACCTAGTTTATTGAACCATGTGTCTTCTTTTTTCTTTCATTTTTGGATTTTTCTTTATAAAAAAAACATTGCATGCAAAATTTCAGCTAAAAATGTTGAGCAATTTAAAAATTTGATTTTTCTTTATAAAAAAAACATTGCATGCAAAATTTCAGCTAAAAATTGACCTGGTTTCCTAAAATGACCTGGTTTTTATGACATTAAAAAAAACATTTTTTTAAATAAATAAATATAAGGAATAACAATAGCAAAAAATATGAAAGTAAATATTTATAATGATTTTTTGATGAGAATTCATCAAATAATCATTATTTAAATTTACTTTAAATGCTAAAATATGAACATGCTTAGAAGTTTATGTTCCAAACTTTCTTGCACTTAAAAAGTACTATCAATCCCATCTCAGTTTTTCATTTTTTTACTGCCCTGCACAATTATCAGTAAATAAATGTAATTTGGACAGATTGAGAAATTTTGTTTTAAATATGGGTAAGATTAGTTCAAAGATTGTGTGCACATTGGTTACATCGTGTGTAATATCTGTCCTGGGGTAGGGTTATTTACCAGGAAAATCATAACACTATCAGGTCTATGTTAGAAAATTATTTTTTCCTTAATTTATTTACATTAACGATCTTCCAGATATTCTCACATCTAAGATGGCATTGTTCGCTGATGATACTACCATTTATTCTTGTCACGATAAGAAGCCAACTCCCTCTGATTGCTTGCAGGGGGCATCTGAGCTTGAAAAGGATCTCACTTCTGCTACAGATGGGGCTCACAATGGCTGGTGAACTTTGATTCAGATAAAACTCAATTTTTTTCGGCCAATCCTTATCGTAATAGTTAGACCTTCCTATATTTATGAACGGTAATGTACTCGATGAGTCTCCTACCCTTCATCTTCTAGGATTAACTCTTACTTCTGATCTTTCTTGGAAACCTTATATCAAATCCATTGCAAAATTAGCATCTGCTAAAGTTGCTTCTCTTTATCGAGCTCGTCACTTTCTTACTCTGGATTCTATTCTCTATCTCTATAAATCTCAAATCCAGCCTTGTATGGAATACTGTTGCCATATCTGGGGCGAATCTTCTAATGATGCCCTTTCTCTTTTAGACAAGGTGCAAAAACGCATTGTAAACATAGTTGGACCTGCTCTTGCAGCCAACCTTCAACCTCTGTCACATCGTCGTGTTGCTTCTCTTTCTCTTTTTTACAAATACTATAATGGGCACTGCTCGAAAGAGCTAGCGTCTCTTGTGCCATCTACTAAAATTCATTCTCATGTTACTCGTCATTCAATTAAGTCTCATCCTTTTTCTGTTATTGTTCCTAAGTGCTCGAAAAACTCTTATTCGTCTAGTTTTTTTCCTCGAACATCAGTTCTTTGGAATTCTCTTTCTTCATCTTGCTTTCCTGATTCTTATAACTTGCAACCTTTTAAGTCGTCTGTCAATCGTTATCTTGTTATACAATCTTCATCTTTTCTCTTCCAGTAACTTCCAACACTAATTAGTGGTTGCTTGCAGCCTTGTTGGAAGCGAAGATAATTAAAAAAAAAAAAATTTCAAATTTGGGCAGCAACAAAATCAGTGCCCAAATACAGTCAGCATTATATAAAATGCGGTAGTGGTGTAGTGGTAGAGCGCTCGCTTCATAAACGAGTGGTTCTGAGTTTGATCCCCACTACGTCCCTGGTAGTACCGCGCTCAACTCGTTTCTCCGCGCAGCGGCCTTGTTCGTCAAGGTTCGTGTTTTGGAGTTATAGAGTTGAGAGAGGGTTATAACCACAAATAAGTAGCCTCCTCGTCTGTAGTGGCCTTCTCTGCCTTGAGGAGGTGAATTAAAATTAAAAAAAAAAAAAAAACAGTCTGGGATAGTCCCTTACTATTTTTGAATGCATTCTTTGTTTTTTTTTACCAAGCAAACAGTTTTTACAGTAGCTCCTTACACACGTCCTTAACAATTTACAAATAGAATGTGTAACACCTGCACATGGCAAAATGCATCAATTTTTCTAAATGAAGCAAATTTTGAGTAGCTTATTTTTATTTCAGGATTATTTTCTTTTTATAATACATATAGTTTCTTCAAAATACACAAAAGAGTTTTTTTTTGTTTATTGATGTACTTTCTAATGCTTAAATAATATTTTTTTCCAGGCAGAGTTCAAGATAAATTATTTGAATCATAAAATATTTTAATAGAATCTTCTACATCTTTATGTAAGACTTGTAACCTTTATAAAATGGAGAAATAGTTAACAATCCTTTTTTGCTTAAAATCCGCCTAGCCATCTTTGCTTGGTATTCTGTAACTTCAAAGTTATTTTTTACTTCTAATATCGACCAAGTTGGTGGTGCCAGTGTGATAAGTTGAACAATAGTTCTATTGTCAAATATAAAGAATTTTATTTTTTATCAAGCTTCTAATTTCATCAAAGTTTTCAGCCTCTTTTTTAAGCTATTGGTTTCATGACATTTTCTCCTTCTGAGAGAATGTTTTGATAATTTTGAATAAGTTTTTAGAAGAGATATATTCAAATTTTGATTATCTATGTTGACCCCCTGTCTTTTTACTTTGAATGATGATAGTACAAAATCCTCATCATCTTGTTCACCCAGACTTTTTTCCTTTTTTGGAAGAAAATCACTTCTAGCAATCTTTTGTTTTCAGTTTTTTCCTGAGTCAGAAGCTATATTCAAGGTACTTCTAACCATGATTTATGACTCTTTTATAGTAACTGAGACAAGAACTTTTAAAAATTATTCTATTTCATAAAGCTTGTTCATGTATTTGTCTAAAACATTATTTTGTTGTTTTAGAAGAAAAAAACTAAAAACTATTTATAATAATAAAAATTTTAAATTTTACAGATTTTTACTAGTGATTTTCTTTGTATGTGCATTGAATGGATCACAACAAACTTTCTGTTATATAATTTTAGTAGATTTTTTACATAGTATTTTTTAAATATTATAATTCAATGTTACAATCTAAAGATATGATTGTTATTTCTTAAATTTCTATAACATCTTGATAGGATCTGGAAAAGTCAAAATTTAATAAGCAAAAACATACCAGTATCCAAGGTGGCCAGCGGTCCTTGAAAATCTTGAAAACCTGGAAAAGTCCAGGAACTTGATAGGATCTGGAAAAGTCCTGGAAAAACACCCCTTTAAGGTGGTACACCCCCATTCAAAAAATTTTCTTTAAAATAATCGAAACAAAATTAAAAACACCATCACACAAGTTGAATCAAGTATGCTAATATTTTTCTAAATAAGAAATCTTGATTTGTCAACTTTTGCCTCACTTATTCCATAAAAATTACGCAATAGTGGGTATGATTTAAAACAAGTTATCTCTATTTCTATTAATCATTTAGTTCTGAAATTTTCAAATTTTTTTTATGTTCCTGAAATATGCGAAGAGGTTGTAAACCAGAATCATGCATTGAAGATGCATAGCACCTTTGAAAATTAATTTTTAATAGATTTGTTAAAATTTTTAACAAAAAATGCACAAAAAAAAAGTATTAAATATACTTTGACACCATATTTATTTGTAATTCTGGTTCATTACCTAAGTCAAACAATAACAAAAGCACCCTAAAAATTTCAAGTTAATATAAGGTTGCAATCTGAAAATATCATGTTTTAAAAATTACATTTTTGCTAAAAATGAAGTTTTGAGAAAAATACAATAAACAAAGAAAAAATTTGTTACATTACAAAAAAAAGCATGAGCCCATTTATAACACTCACTAAACATAAATCACATAATAAAGAAGAAGCTGAAGCATAAATAAGATATTGTTGTTTAGAAGCTTTAACAAGTTGAAATTTTCTTGTTTAATAATGCGTTGCTATGGCATTGCTATGGACCTCAAAACTCTTTAATGGCCAAGGTACACACATTTTTACATACTTATTTACTTATTTTATTTTTTAAAAAAATTACTAATATGTTCTATGAACTAAAAATATCAAAATTTGAAAAACTAATTTTTTTAAAAAATTTCTAAAACTAATGGGGGTATACCACCAAATAGTTCCTGGAAATCCTGGAACTTTTTTCTGAAATAGTTCAATATTTCATTACCATGTTAACATTTATTTGTCTTTTACATAGTTATTAATTTTGTATAGATTTAGAGTTGCTTATATATTTAGTTAACTATATATTTTTTGTAATACAAAAAAAATCAATATATCCTTGAGACACCCAAAATTTTCCTAGAAAAGTCCTGTAGAATTTTGAATTAGCAATTGGATGACCAGCTTGGTATCACACTTGGTCAGTTTTTATATAAAAATAAAGCTTTTTAGTAGTTAAAACCATAATTTTTTACATTTAATTATGCAAGACTCCCTTAAATATATAACCATAGTTTTTTTTTCCTCTAAAAAGTCAATAAACCAAATTTAATTTTCTTGATCAGAATTCTTTTAGCAACTTTTTTTTTTTAATAATTTATTGAAAAAGTAAAATCTTTAAAATTATAGTTCTATGTGTACCTGGTGTTTTTCCAGCTAGATTTTTGTTGACATGTAAGATTATAACTAACTAAAAATATTAAAAAAAAAAAAATTTGAACAGAGGTGTTTTGAGATGATGGCAGTCTTCTCCGTTTAGCCAGCGCTTTCGTGCTAAAGTCTTTTTGCGCTCACCCACATAAAACTTTGATGAGCACATAATAAAGGGCTTGCCTAAAAAAAATAAAAGTGTTATGTTTTGAATTGCAACATAACATTTTTGTTTATTTGTTCAACTTTTATGAAAAATTCTTTTTTTAAATTCTTTTTTATAAAAGTTTATTAATTTATTAAAGTTATCTGCTATTTCTATTTTAATTTAAATAGCAAAAAAAAAAAAAAAAAAGAATTTTTAAAATCACACAGGCTAACTTATAAATGGTCATCTTATCAGCACTTTTGGGTGCACTGGCAACAAAATTCGAACAGAAGACTGTGATGTGTTCTTAAGTCATATAAACTAGTTGTTTTATTAACTTTTAAGAGTGTTTTCTTTATATTTCAGCATTTTAAGTAATTTTATTAAATTCTGCACCAAAAAAGCATTACAAATGTTTATTTTCATATTTTTGTCATTGTTATTTCTCATTTTATTAAGGAAAATGTTTTTTCAAAATGTATACTTTTTAAAAAAGAAACTGAAAACATTTTAAACACAATTTGCTCAATTGAAACCTGAATTTTTTTCTATGTGTTTAAAATAGTTATATTTTCTATCTCCAAAAAACAAACTAATAAACGAGTGAGAGGAGTTTTGATTTATGTGAAGTTGAAGAAGATGAGAAGAATATGAAAGAACATGAGTTATAATAAGTGGATTTCTGAATCTTTCTGAACATTCATGCTTCTACATGAGACATTATGTTTAATGTTTTAAGAAAACCTGATGGTGATAAAGAAATCATAACAATTGAAATTTTGATCAACAACAACTTCAAAATCTTCTTTCACAACCAAGTTAATAATCTTAAATTATCATATCATGATTAATGATTTTAAACTTAAAAAAATAAATGAAACAGATTTAAACTTATCAAATGACAGTTACCTGTCATTTGGTAATGCTACCTGGAAGTAATTAACAAGCGGGTACCCGTCGACAGCAATAAGTAGTAACTTTTTTTATCTCATTTTAGTAAACCTCAAGATGATTTTTAGTGGATAAAAAAAACCATTTAAAAAAAATAAATATATATATATATAAATATATAAATTTAAAAGTGTTACATTTAATATACTCATTATTTGTATGCGGGTAGAAATAACAAATCCACAGTGGAAGTATTATTTGTTCACAAAAAGTTTATATCTATTAAATTTTGGTATGTATACTATAATAGTGTAGCACTCTAGATGTTGCAAAGTTCACTATATGATGACAGTCAGCTTGATACTATATGATGACAGTTACTTGATACCATATGATGACAGTCAGCTTGATACCATATGATGACAGTTACTTGATACCATATGATGACAGTCAGCTTGATACCATATGATGACAGTCAGCTTGATACCATATGATGACAGTCAGCTTGATACCATATGATGACAGTCAGTATTGGGTGGAGTTTAAAATCTCTAGAATATCATTTTTTGATGTTTTATTCCCTTAGTAGACATAAGGGTGGCGCAATTTTCATAGTAAAAATAAAAAAGTTTGAAAATAAACATTCTTGGAACACAAATGGTATTTTATATAGTTATAACAAAAAAGTAAAAAATATTATTGGATTTAGATGAGTTCTTGGGGTTCCTCTAGGACCCAACAAATTTAATAAACAACAACAATTTGCAACTTAGGCAAATCTAATTTCAAAAGTTTTTCAGAGGGGCAATTGGAATTAAAAAATAGGCAAAAAAAGAACAATTTGTTTACGTCATTTTTTTTGCTTTAAGATATAACTGTTTAATGGGAAATATTTTTTACATTTCAATTGTATTTAAAGGTTTTAAAGCTAAAACTTTATTAGAAAATTTATAGTTCAGTTTCTAATAGAATATATATTTAACATTGTTTATTCAAACTCATAAAAAAGCATGCAATACCCTATAAACAGCAAACTAAACAAATTCACTTTACAATAGTTTTAAAGATCTTTTATAGAAGATCATTAGATTATTATTAAGATAATAACTAAAAACCAATATAAATAATATAAATAACTAAATAAAATAGTATAGATATAATAAATAGTATATATAATATAATAAAAAATTAATCAAATATAGATATATAAGATAAGATATAATAAGTAATAAATAAGATAGATAAAAAAAGTATAATAAAAACTAGATAAAAAACCTTTTCTTTATTTGTTTAAATGATTTAAAAAGAGTTTTATCTAACTAATAAACATTAAAATAAACAATGTGATTTAATATATAGATAAAATAAATTTTTGGTAACCATTGTTGACATTGTCTTTGTTTTAAAGTAACTTATCAAATCAGTAATACATAACAAACAAAATTATTGGATCAAAAAAAAATTCTGAAGAAATTTTTTAATGCTATTTTAAAAATAAATAAAAACAACTTTAAAAAAATTAAACTAAAGCACTTTTTAAAACCCAAGAGGATAAAATAAAACAAATTATTGATTTCAAAATGGCTGAAAAAAATAAAACAAATTATTGATTTCAAAATGGCTGAACAACACCGAATTTATACATATTTACAATACAATAATTATATTTTAGAAAATATTTTAATAATTTAAAATATACATTTGTAAAATAATAAACATGTATAAAAAAAATAAAATTTGTAAGGTAATTTATACTGGACTTTTCGCAGCTTTTAAATCAGCACCTAATTACGTCTAACAGTGTTGAAAAGGCTCAGAATAGCCCCTGATATGTTATTTTTATATTTTAAGTTTATCTTTAAATTATTTTCTCAGTCTATTTTCTCCCACCCTAGAGAAGTTACTTAATTAGTTTACAAATAATTTACCTTGTTATTGAAATATCCAGTAACTGCTGTGTTATCCATTATATTCAAGAGATTAGGCACATTTCTTTTTGAACGTTTTTGGGCATTTACAAATTGTACTAAAGAATTTGTACTGCTGAGCTGCATCAAGGTTATTTTAAAACTTACGGTGTCTAAAAATAAGAATTAACACAAAATAAACTTTTTAATTTGCAATTGTGGAAAAATACTTTTCCTAAATTTTAGTGAACTGCATAAGTTTAGTCCATGGTATAAAAATGTGTTGAGTTAACTACTGAAAAAATATGTCAAACTACTGAAAAAATATGTACTTAAAATGATACCACTTTATTCTAAAACAAAAAAAAATTCCCTAAATATTTTTCTTTTATTAATTCTACATTTACAATAAATTACATAGACAAACTTTTTGTTTTTAAATGAAGTTATGACTTGGTTATTCACTTTAAACTTTTAGAAATGTCAACACAGAGATATAAAGTTTTCAGTTTTTTCAGTACTCTGGATGATCCAAAGTTTGTTTGTAAGCCCCTGTTTCTTACTGATGAAATCTGTATGAACTGATTTTGATGATTCTGTAATTTCATTGCAGAAAACTCTTTAATGTTTGGTAATGAATATATGGTTTTAATAATGAATATATGTTTGCAATTAACATTTTTTTTTAGGCATTATTAAATTTGTTGATTTTTGTATTGTATAAATTTAAACCTGACTGTCAATAAACACGAACGTGCTTGATGACGCTGCGAACTTGGTTTCATATTGAAGTGGCTTGGCATTTGAGAGAAATACAGTAAAAAAAATAGTCTCCTCCATGAGTTGGTGGCCTTTAGATGCTTAGCTTTTTTGACCAGTCAGTAGCTTTCAAAGAACAAATGTTTTTTTGACTAAGAATGGATATTAAATAACCAAAAGTGTTTTGATAATCATTTCCAAGAAAGACATAGTCTTAATTCTCAAAAATTATTTGTTTATTTTCAATAAAACTCTCAGAAATTATTTGTTTACTATTCACAATAAAGATCATAATCATTATAAGATATCGCAAAGTTACAAAAAATACAATGGAAAGCTACACAATTAGTACCAGTTTTAAAGAAAATGCTATAAGAAAAAGAATTATGTAAAATGAACTTAACAACACTAGAAAAGCGTCATTTATGAGGAGATCGAATTTTTCAATACAAAATAAAAAAAGGTTATAAAGAGATAAATTGGATAAACAACTAAATATCTAAAACTCAATCAAAATATTAGAATTTTTGTGCTCATAGCCAAAGGTTAACAAAAGTATACTGTAAGACTAATACTAGATATAACTTTTTTCTCAAATGTTGTAGATGCTTGGAATAATTTACCACCTCATATTATTGGAACAATAACAACTGATCAATTTAAAAATAAACTTGATAATTCAGAATAATGCAAAGACTATCTACAACATAGCATTAAAATATATAAACATTAATTAGTTGTTATAACGCAACATCATGTGTTATTGTGCTATACAATCAATTTTTTATTCAATCGTCACAACTTACATTATTATTAGGGTCGAAAATTTCTCAGAAATTTTCAACTCGGGAAATTTTCCAGAAAATTTCAAAAAAAGATAAGTTTTTTTATAATTAATGGGTAAAATTTCATTTTTTAGGCAGTTGTTATGCACAATTTTATGGTAAGATAAAATTGTGCATAAAATTTTATGGTAAAATTATGCGGTAGTGGTGTAGTGGTAGAGCGCTCGCTTCATAAACGAGTGGTTCCGAGTTCGATCCCCACCACGTCCCTGGTAGTACAGCGCTCAACTCGTTTCTCCGCGCAGCGGCCTTGTTCGTCAAGGTTCATGTTTCGGAGTTATAGAGTTGAAAGAGGGTTATAGCCACAACATAAGTAGCCTCCTCGTTTGTAGTGGCCTTCTTGGCCTTGAGGAGGTGAAGTAAAATAAAAAAAAAAAAAAAAAAGATATTGTGAAGCAGATTATAAAAATTTTAGAAAGCCTACTTTGAAAAGCCCCAATAAAAAATACTTTTTTTGGAATTTTTTTGAGTTTTTTTTATTATAACTATAAGTAGCAACTATGATCATTTGTTTTTAAAATTTTCTAAAATTATTTTATTTTTTTATTTGCTAAGCATATCGATGTTCATTGTTGTACCAAGCTTTTTTTAAGGCTTAACATAATTTGCATCTCTAATCTCTAAAAGGGATGGGGGTGAAAATTATAAACATTTTATATTCAATGATCTTTCTTAAAATGTTTTAAGAAAGTAGATAATGCTATAAGATTTTTGATTTGCAAGTATATGAATTAAAAAATATCATTTCATCCATCTAAAATAATAATTTTAACAGAATTTTACATTGTATAATTTAAAACGTTTTGAATTGAAAAGAAAACAGACAGAACAACATTGATCTGTCAAAGAACAACAATTGAAGAATACAAATTGATGTTATTAGAGGCAATAAACAAATTAACAGCTCATTCCTACAATGAAAAATGTCAAGCAAGATACCTAAGGATAACAATTTTTGCCTTAGATATCTAAGGCAACAAAAAAATTAGCAAAAGACTGCTGCATTGTTTTAGGTGATTTTGCAGAAAACCACACATTTGTGATTTAAGATGAAATCTTAAGTTAGTATAGGTGCCAAAGTCAATTTACCAAACCTTTCAAAAGTTATAACTTAATCGGTATTGACCAAAATCAGAAAAATTTGAGTATCTGGAGCTTACAGTAGATTACAGTAGATTTTTTTGATTACAGTAGATTACAGTAGATTTTTTTGATTACAGTAGATTACAGTAGATTTTTTTGATTACAGTAGATTACAGTAGCTTACAGTAGATTTTTTTGATTTTTAACAGATCATAACTTTTTAAATAAAATAGATTTGAAATTTTTTACGATAATAGTTTTTCACCTAAATTATCTATTTTTAAAGGTGTTTTTGACTAATTTTAAACAATTTTTGAGTTCTTGTACTTTAAAGTTGATAAATAGCGCAATATTAGAAAAAAATATTTGGAAACTTTAATTTGCTAGTGTTCAATATCAACAGACAAACTGTGCCAATTTTTTGTTTCTTTGGAGTACTTAGAGTAACCAGTTGTGGAAAAAATTAAAATTAAGTTATTTTAGCACTTGCAGCAGCTTGTTAAAATATCACTTTTCATTTTTTAAAAAATATGCGATATTAATCGTATATTTTAAAAAAATATACGATTAATAAATATCATATCAACAAATATTATTTTTTTAAAAAATACGATAAATTACATTCACTTTGTAGGTATAGAAATTAGCATAGAAAGTTAAAATAAATTATGAAACTTTTTACTGGTAAGGTTCTATATATAATCACCATTAAAAAAAATTTAAAAACTTTACTCTATCTTATGATATGATTGTTGCCCTATGACTTTAGTGTATATTTTAAATTTTTCCTTGAATAAATATAATCAGTTTTCCCTAAAATAACATAATCAGTGTTTTAACTTAATAATTTATTTGATATGATTTTACAATATGTATTTGTTTAATTTTATGCATATAACATAATTATTAATTTTCACATGGTTATAATTTGAGTGTAAAATACTTCAAATGCTTCAAGAGTTTGTATTAAAATCTTAGTCTGCACAGTATTTTCTGGATTTTATTATTTTAGTTTTTAACATTGCAAGAATCAAAAACTAAGTTTTGTGTATGCAAAAATAGTTATATGTAGAAATAGTTTATTGGTTGCATTTTAGACAGTTTTAATCACATTTGTACTTGAGATTCCATTTTTACTGATTTTATTACTAAAAAAAAAATAAAAACATTTTTTTTAGGTTATGTTACATGTTTAACCCTTGAATTTAAATGTCAGAGAAATGTTGTGTGGGAAGAATTTTAAATTTTAAGATTGTGATAAAATGTCATATTGTAGAATGGTAGGAAGAATAAGACTAAAAGATACTGATATTGAAATTTTAATTCAAAGAATGATACACTTTCTAATAAAATGAGATGTGTCTTCAACATGAAAAAGCCTATATTTCTAGATATGAAGCACTTCAAAAATACTGTTGTGATTCATTTAAAGTCCACAAGAAGAAAATTATCAAGAGATTGTGTAAAGTCAACATATTAATAGCAAATCAACTTAAGATCAAACCTGGTCAAAAAGTTTGTACTAACTGTATGAATGAATTCAAACATAAAAAAATTACAGAAGTTAGTTAAGATAAAACTGCTGAAGAAGATTTTAGTTATTCAGACCCTCATAAGACAGTTCTTAATAAGAATGTGTCTTTTTGGAAATATCTCCACTCAAAAATGTAAGTAGGCACGACAAATTAGAATATGGAAAGCGAAATGCTAAAAAATCATAACAAGAATGACAAACCTAGTCAGCATTGGATATAGACCCAAAATAAAATTAATATAAGTTTGAAGGAAAAAAAAGTTCAACTACTAACACTAACTCCTGATAGTTAGTCAATTGAAAAAACTTGCAAAGCATTTTCAGTTTTGGAACATCTTGTTAAGAAAGCTCGAAAGTTGAAAAATGAAAAAGGAATACTTGCTAAACCTGAGGCTGAAATAGGACAGCTTTCGGAAGATATTGTTAAGCAAAAAGTCATTGAAAAAAGACTTTGTTTCTGTGCACATAAATAATGTAAAATTTTATAACCAAAAATGTTTAATATTAGTTCGATTAAAGGAACTTTATCTTGAGTTTAAGAAGTTATACCCTAAACACAAAGTTGGATTCAGCAACTTCTGTAAACTAAGGCCAAAGTGGTGCATCACAGTTGACAGTAGTGGAAGTCACTCAGTTTGCGTATGTTCTTATCATCAAAATGCTTGATGTGCACTGCTTATCATCAAAAGTTGATGTGCAATGCTTTACCTAAGGGCCATTTAACATATTACAAAAATTTAATGAAAGTATGTGTTTGTAATATAGATAGCTGAAGCTGCATGTTTCACCTATGTTTTAACTGACCCAGTAAAGTAAATTTGAAGACTTACTTGGAAAATGTTTTTGAAAATAATTTGTTTTCAAAGCTATCACAGTGTATCAAGTATCACAAACTTGCTAATAATGATTATGATAATATTATGAGTTATATAAATCAGAGATAAAGAAATTACTGCACTTGTGTTTCATGCGTATATACACTTTTTCTTTCAGCATTTTAATTTTTTTATATAATATAACTTGCAAAAGGTACCCCTTTAAACTTAAAAAAAATGTGTGCTCAAAATGCTAAAATTATGTCATAAGATAGTATAGATCTTTAAATTTTTTTTGGTGATTGTCTATATATAGAGCTTCGCCGATAAAAAGTTTCATAATTTAATTCAACTGTTTATACTATTTTCTATGCCTGCAAAGTGTATGCAATTTATTATATTTTTCAAAAAAAGTGACATTTTAATAGGCTGCTGCAAGTGTTAAACTAACTTTTAACACATAATTTTAATTTTTTTGCTCTAAGTACGCTAAAGTAGAAAAAAATTGGTACTGCCTGTCTATAGGTATTGAACTGCACACAGGTTAAAAACTATGAACATACAAAATTTCAGGTGATCACCTTTTTTATTTACAAAGTTAAACTCTGTCAAAAATCAAAAAATCTACTGTAAGCTTGAGGTAAAATTTGAATTTTCTGATTAAAAAAAAAAAAAAAAGGTTAACATTTTCTGATTTTTGTCAATATTAAATCAATCATAACTTTTGAACGGTATGGTCAATCAAGCTGAAATTTTGAGGTTTGTATTTTTTTCATAAATACTGTTGGTGGTCAAAATTTGAAGCAAATTTGAGGTCGTAATCTGAGGAACATTAGGTGATTTGATGGGAATGACCCATCTTTATATTGAACTATAGGAGTGCAAAATAGAATATATGTACACTCCACTTTCCACATACCTATTCGAGTAAATCAATGTATTAAGTTGCATAATATAATTACATTGCAACTAGGGCCGTATCAGTCAATTTATGTATACATTGATTATTATTATTCTGTGAAACTTTAAAAAATATAAATTATAAATAAATATAGTTATAGTTAAACAACAATAAGGGATCGTCCATAAATTATGTAACGCTAAAATTAAACTTATAAACAAAAGACTAAAGATTAAAAGTTTTTCCTCACAGTCTTTAATTAATTAAACCAAGTATTCAAATAACCTTTTAAGTCCAGCGAAAACCGCCGCGCCAAAAAGCAAAATGATCTCCAACTTATATTTTTAAAACAAGTTTTGCGTTGTGTAATTTATGGACAATCCCTAATAGTTAAAACATAAAACAACTTTAAAATAAAACAACAAAATCTAAAAATTTTCAAATAAAACATCAAAATCCAAACTTATCAAAAACTGCATGACATAATTTATGGATGATCCTTTAGTATTGATTTAAAGAAACCAAAACTCTTGGAAGCATCTCACAAATGTTGTGGAATCTTCCTTCATTCATCTTCCTAATAAAAAAAGTTTTTTATAATTTGCAAATTATGGAATTGTACATGTTTAACCAACAGGTTATTTAACTATTTAAGAACCATCCTTCAAACAAACTAAGCATCTACAGGCCACCAACGAATAAAGGATTGGTTTCAATAGAAACCAATGTTAACATTTTTAAAACAATGTTTGTTTTCTAGAAGAATTTCTTAATAATGTTAAAGCTGGAAAAGTTTATTGTTGCATTCAAAACATTCGATGCAGCCTAAGGGGCATGCTTCGAAAGACATAAATTTACTCCATAGAGATTCTATTTTTTTCTTTTTAGAGAGAAAAGTCTTGAGATTTCAATAAAAGTTTATGAAGTCATCAAGCATGGAAATATTTTCAAGAGGTCTTTGATTTTAGAAACGTATCAGAATCAGTTCATGCAGATTATCTAGAAAGTGCTTATAACCAAAAATCATTCCACAATATTACAACAATTACGTTTGATGTGATGATGTAATGTTTGATCAAATAAAAATAAGAAACTAAATGAATAAAGGCTTTTGTCTGTCTAAAATAACTTTTATACTATTACTATTTATTTAACTTTTTGCTTTTAATTATTAAGCAGTTACTAAATCAAATAATCAATAAAAAAATAAAAAATATTACGTAATAATTAAAAAATTTTTTTTTTGCCAAATTTGTGAAATTTTTTTGAAGGTTTAATATAAATATAGGGTTAATTGAATATTTTGTACATGCACGTACAATACCGAGAAGTTTTACTTATGGAACCAGAGTTGTGATTTTGTTTAGCAACTCCGACTCCGCTAAAAAGTCGTGACTCCAGGACTCCAACACCGACTCGACAGCCCTGGTAAAAATACAGCAGTACTAAAATTTGTTTAAAATATTAATTCATGTAATTGTGGATCAAAAGAGAGTTTACCTTGAAACTGAATGTCGAATTTCTCTGATAAAACTGATGCTTCTCCTGAGATTAATATAAAACACTGATAAAATCCTTCATCACCTAACACAAGAGGATTTTTTAGGAAATTGTCACTAATAAATTCATAGATATTATCTTGCAGTTGACGGATATCAGCTTTGATTCTTTTTGTTCCATCTTTTAACCAGTAAGTTTCAAAAGAATTATTTGGAAAATTTGTTTTAAAAACACACGGTGATATTATAACTTGAGAACCAATTTTCATATTAGTAGTTAGATTAAGATTATACATTATTTGAATGACTTTTGGTGGTTTTGTAAAGCTAGGATCTAAATGAAACTTAACATTTTAAAAACTCATTGTTATAGAAATTTAACAATATATAACTTTTATTGCAAAATTATAGATCATTAAAAAACAGTTGTGCAAATTAATAATTAATATTGATGTAAATCACTGAGTAAAAGATTCAACCTAACAAAATAATTAACAAACTAAAATATACATTGTACTGCTCCCAAAGCAGCAGCATAAGGCAAACGAGTAGATGCCAAAATTGAAGAAAATTCTGGCAAATCTGTAGCTATATCTGTACCATTGAGTTTATCTGTGACTGTAGTTTCGCTTAAAGATGAATTTTTATTTAAACTGAATTGTTTTAACTTTTGATTTATACTTAGATTTGGTAAAGTAGAGTTACTATTTTCAAAAGAAATTTCATTTCCAGGATTATCTTTTGAAATCTTTTTCCAAAATTCAACAATATCATTGGAGCAAACATCATAATAAATAACTTCTTCATCTTCATTTTGAGCTAAAAAGAAATAAATTCATTTTATATGTAATGATAAAATTTTGGTGTCCATTTTTATTTATTGTTAGTACCTTGAAGCTGTATATATATATATATATATATATATATATATATATATATATATATATATATATATATATATATATATATATATATATATATATATATATATATATATATATATATATATATATTATGTTAGTGTATTCTACAAATAGAGTGCTCAATGCTCTTAAAGTACAGAGCAATAATTTAGTAAAAACACTTATCTAATTTTTGTGCTCTTCAACAGCATGTTTCACCATCAGTAGGTTCATCAGGAAGCTTCCTGATGAACCTACTGATGGTGAAACATGTTGTTGAAGAGCACAAAAATTAGACAATTTATATATATATATATATATATATATATATATATATATATATATATATATATATATATATATATATATATATATATATATATATATATATATATATATATAAATCCACAACATAGATGACCAAGTCCATCAAAAATAAAGTTAAAGTGCATATTCATTTAGATAATCAACTTAAGTAAATAAAATTATTCAGTAAACTATCAAACATTTAAAAATATGAAAATCATGAGACAAAATAGTTTCATTAAGCCTTATTTGAAGGGGTAACTCCATCAAAGTAAAAAACAAAAATGTTTTCAATTACTTTATCCTAAAGAAAAGCTTGGGGTATATGCCAAATTTTTCAAATTTAGCTTAAAAAACTGATTGTCAAATTATATTATTACTTTTTAAACTTTGTTTATTTTGATCTTTTAAGATATATAAACTATGGAAAAAAACAAACATGAATACTAAGTTATACATTTATATATAAAACAAATATAGAGTAAGATTATTAAAACATTATGGAACAAAAAAAGAAATTTTAAGTTATAGATGCTTGGCGTGAGTAAATCTATTTTTATTATTACTATTAACTTTATTAATATAAAGTAAATAAATAATATAAAATGAAATCAACAAAAATTATCTATAGTTGAAGATTGCAAGTAGAATTTTTAACAACATCTAGCACAAAATTAAAGATGTTTATAATTTCTATTGAAATGGATAAAAAAAAAAAATTGAAAAAAAAAAGCTTTGAGAAAATTAAGGAATTAGTGTGTTATGAATGAAGACTAAGAAGTTCTGGACAGAAGCACATAGTGCAACTGTTTAATTTTTACAATTTATAGAACTTAAAACCTTGCATAAAAGTTTTGAACAAAATTTTTATTAAAAGTACAAACTGAAACTAAGCAACTAGGCAGCTGCAATAAAAGAAAATCATTAACTAAAGTGTTTTAGATTAAATCAAACAGGCTACCCGAAATTATCTATTTAGTGTGCAAAAAGTAAACAGGTTTATAAATAGTCAATGGAAATTGTAGCACTGAAGCTTTTTTCTCCTGTCAAAACATTACAAAAAATGCTTGACTATAGCAGCTGAAGAAAATTACAGAGTAAAGGCAAAGGAGTACAAGATAAGAGTTTAATAGTGGAAAATGAATATAATGTATATCTCACCACAAAGCTCTTGAGGCTAAAAAGAACTTTAATAAAACAAGTGGTATCCTGTTAAAAATTTATTAACATACTAGTGACTATTTGCAATGCCTGTTTGATCAAACTTCTAGAAGACTGGTGCAAGTACTTAACTTAGCAGATGATATATGATAAATTTAAAAATAAATTGCACATAAAGATTTAATGGCAGCACTATGCATAGTGAATACAAACAGGGATAACCACAATGAACCAACAAATAAAGTACAACAACAGCATCTTTAATGGTCTATTTGTATTGTAAATGCAGTAGAAACCTTTTCAAAAAAAAAACTTCTCCTTTTTTAATTGATAGTCTGATTTAATCAGACTAAATAAAGTTGAATTAAAAGATGTTGTTCAATTTTGAACCTATACTGCTAAACAGCGAGTAGAAGAAGTTGGTATTATATGCTCACTTGACTTTAAAAATATCAATTCACAGCGCCCAACCCAACAAGAAAAACTGATCCGGGATAAATGTGTCATTTGATAACCACACTTAATTAATCATTAATTAAGTGTATACCATTAATTATTAGTAAAAGTATACCATTAATTATTAATGGTATGGTGTAAATGTGGGCCATGTGGCTATGGTATTTATAACACTAAGGTGGCAGCCACGTATGCTACAGATGTGGCTATAATACTTAACCACTTGATTATTATAAATACCATAACCATACATCATGTATGGTTATGGTATTTATAATAATCAAGTGGGATGACATGGGATGACAAAGATATGAGCCATGTATGATACATGGCTCATATCTTTGTCATCCCATAAGTAGCATATAAAAAACAAAACGGTTTAGTTTATGAGTAATCAATAATTAATTACTAATTAATAATAATCAATTGAACAATAAAATTAGAGATAAAAAAAATCTACAAGTTCAACAAGTTAACTTTTTTTTTTTTTTTCCTCTCCAATTTTATTGCTCTCTCTCTCTATTTATTGTTTTTCTCACTTTAGTCAACCACACTCCGCACGCTTTATTAATGATATAGATATTGTTTATCAAAAACATGTGCTTAAGAGCGGGTTTAAGTAATCGAGTAAAAAGTGGTCAGATATCAGAAAACCCCTTTCGACTGCGCAATATTTTTATTATCTACGAACTGATTCCTTAATATTCTGCATTTTCACCAAACGACGGATTTTTTTCAGAATTCAGTGGAAAAAAAAGTTTTGTGTTATTTAGGGAATATGGATTCGAGCAAATCATTACTGCATATCTTCAGGCAATACGTTCAGTAGAAAAAGGAACGGAAAGCAAAACTGAAAGCATTGAGGATTGCTGATAAATACAAAATGATTTTCATCTCAAGTTTTATTAAAAAAACTAACTGATATAGAATTACTCACCGTGTTTGTTGATTTAGATTTAACAAAAGCAAAATATTTGAGAAAGTTGAAAAATGAACAAAGCTGTTCAATATTTCTATTTGCCTATAAATTATACAAAAGTTATGGAATTACAAGATTTATTGGATCACGCTGTAGTAAGAATTTTGACGATGGTGCTCTGTGATATGATCATAAGGACTTCTTAAAGCACCTTAATGACCACAAAAAAAGAGCCCAATAAACTCTTTTCGGCCATCTGCAAAAAAAATTGGCAAAGTGAGTTATAAAACTTTTTTGCCAACACAAACGGATACGCATTTTGCGTCTTCACATACAATAAGTGGAGCTGCTCTACGGCAAATAAATGACTTAATGTGGCTGCTAAGCATACAAATGCAAATTTGTATCAATAAAGACTATCCACATTACGTGCCTTGAATTGTTGTATGGAAATAATATTACATATTTCCGGCAACCTGACTTTCCAAATATAGTCAGCCACAAGCAAAGTAAAGAAACGGCTAAGGATAGAGAAGAAAAGAAAGTTTATTAGAGGATTTAGAGTTTAATCATCAACAAACCAAAACAAGCAGGTTATACAATAAATACTCAATATATTTTAGAAATTATGGATGGTACTTTTAATATGCCATTTTCAGGACATTAGATCTCACTTCACGGAGAAAATATCATAAAACATTTTGCAGTAGGGTAGATTAGGGTAATGTGAGCACCTTTAGAGAAAATTAGAATATTTTCAAAAATAATTAAGCTGGGTCCAAAATTTTTACGAATAAAAAATTAGAGATCCCTACTTATGATCCACTTAGATATTTTGGCATCCGAAATAATTTTATAAAAACACAGAGGTTTTAAAAAAGTAGCAAAATTGCTCATATTACCCAGACCACTTGGTAATATGAGCACTTTAAGTTAGCTCAAAAAAATAACATTAGTTACGTAAAGAAATACCAACCTGAAAATTAGAACTAATTTTTGGAATATAATGATGCAGTCAGAAAAAGTTAGGATCTGAAAAAAAAAAAATTGCAACTATTACGAAAAATCTCAGAGTATTATTCTGACAGAGAAGATTTGACTTTAGACTTCAGATGACATAGGCATTACAGTATCAAGTGTAAAACATCTCAAACAAAGAAATCTATAGCAACCAGAATGACAAGGACGAGAATGCAACTGAGAACAAATCAGTAAAACAAATGCTACCATCAGTTGATAATAATGGCAATGCTCATGGTGCTTCTGAAATTAATAAATTGATAAGTTTGGTAGCCCTAAATGTAACGCAATGGAGCAATACTACTTTATATGTAAAACCGCCTGGTAGGCGTGAACATCATAAAATAAGCGGACCACTAGAACCTTCTGGTTATAGGAGCGTTGTTGATAAACCTCGCAAGTGCTTGGCGATTACTTATTGAAAAGTTAATAATACAGCACATATATATATTAACAACAGGCCAATAAGCAAACTGAAACTCAATAGTTGTATCTAACTGAATAGGAGCTCGAAGCATTTACTGCTGTTTTTCATGCACGAGGTGTAGCTGGACTAAGTAAAATGACGTTTAAGTTTCTTTGGAGCGGCAATTAGGGCGTGCCATTATGTAGGAGAGCAATGTCGCAGAAAAAATTCTGTAAAACTTTACGACTCATAAAGTTTAATACTACATCAAATTGGTCCATAAAGTAACACGCTGACAACTTTTTTTCTTAGTTTTAAAAGTAGTATATGTTTATAGTATAGTTAAAAATAAAATAGCTGCTAATTTTAAAATTATAAATTATTTATTTTTAAAAAATATCTATTTATAATCAGCTTTTCCCCAGTAATTCTAGGAATTTTTTAAACACAAATTATGTATGTACAAGGAATAGCCGTTGTAAATAAGTAAAAAGCTAAAACCTAAAATCTAAGTAAAATAGCGTTGCATTCTCTTTAAAGAGACGATTGAGGCGTATCGTTTTGTAGAAGAGCCATGTAGCGGAGTAGATTCTATTGATAAAGATAGCAAATATATGATAAACGGTTTTCCTTATCTTGGGAAGAATAA